GATGGATTTGTTCAGTTCGGCGACGGGGGGCATTTTGCACTTTCGCTGCTTCACTAGTTCCGGTTTACAAGTCTCACTCTGGTGAAACCTGTGAACTCTTGTGAATCTGGAGCAAGCTCGTCTAGCCACCATGTTAGAACCTGTCAACTCTTGTAAGCACACGAAATGGCTCTCTAAATGAGCCTATACGTCGATGGGAATCAATAAAAGTGCAAAATGGCAACTGTCGCCGAACTGCGCCGGATTTGTTTTATGCAATTTTCATTTGAATGTGTATTAACAATGTGAAACTCCAAAAGTTTATTCCAAAAAACTCAAAAGACAGCAAAAGTCTCAAAAGTTTTTAAAATATATCTTATCTGGCTATATTTCGGTGCGTAGCACCTTCTTCAGGCCTGAAATTATTTAGCTTGTTTTATGCAGAATATAAGCCTACAGAGATGTAACCCGCACGGACTCCTCCCATACGAGGCACTTACCGAATATCCTGGCAAATTAGCCAACCCACCCTAACCACACCCTTAAATAGTGGGATGTGACGCGATCACATTATGACGTCACATCCCACTATTTAAGGGTGTGGTTAGGGTGGGTTGGCTAATTTGCCAGGATATTTCGGTAAGTGCCTCGTATGGGAGGAGTCCGTGCGGGTTACATCTCTGTAGGCTTATATTCTGCATAAAACAAGCTAAATAATTTCAGGCCTGAAGAAGGTGCTACGCACCGAAATATAGCCAGATAAGATATATTTTAAAAAACTTTTGAGACTTTTGCTGTCTTTTGAGTTTTTTGGAATAAACTTTTGGAGTTTCACATTGTTAATACACATTCAGATGAGTAATGAGACTCCGGGACAGCACCATACTCCGCAATTTTCACTGTTTAATTACCCAAGTCCGAAAAGAAGTCGTTTTGCGCTCTGTGTTGTTTTGTTCTTCTGTTTTCGCCAACGAGGTCTGTAGGTGGAAACTTTTTATTCGGCCAACGTTTCGACCTGTTCGTCGTCGTCAAAGGCCTAAACATGGCTCAAAGCTTGAGAATTGCACGCTATCCCACCAAACGCCTTGTCCCTTCTAGTTGTTGGGGAGGCATAGAATAGAGCAGCATGATGGCGAAGATTTCAACATCAAGTGCACGATTTTGGCCTATGAGACAGAGATTTCAGCTAGGAAAGCGCTGGAAGCCTTTTGGATTTCAGCACGAAATCCAAGCATGAACAACCGAAACGAGTGTGTATCCATTACGAATGATCTACTACCGTTCATGGAACATTGCGAATTGCATACATGATAAGCGAACACGTGCGTCCTGATAAAGGAGAGTAACACTCATTCGCTTATTCATTTACTAACGTACTAACTACTAACCTGTTGTGGTGGAACACGGTGAGCTTATTTTTCAACTTTTGGGTATTTTTGCATAATCCTGAGATGACGTCAGAAATGCTAGAAGGGACAAGGCGTTTGGTGGGATAGCGTGCAATTCTCAAGCTTTGAGCCATGTTTAGGCCTTTGACGACGACGACGAACAGGTCGAAACGTTGGCCGAATAAAAAGTTGCCACCTACAAACCTCGTTGGCAAAACAGAAGAACAAAACATCGTTGACAATGCCGAGGTTTCAAGATGAGAGGAGTTGGAATCTGCTCTGTGTTGTGTCTGGGCTCAAAAGCGCGTCATAATCACTGCTATACTAATATGGGTTTGTCGCAGGGCTCATTCAGAAATGGGGGAAAGCAGCGATACTCAGATGTTGCACAGTCATTGAATGATAGAAAGAGTTATAAAGAGTTGGTTCTTGCTGTGAAGAACATCCGAAGAAACACTGAAGACAGAGACAAGTATTAGGTCATCCCATTGTTTTTTTCGAATAAAACGAAAGGAGAGAATAGATGAAAAAAGTAATTTTTGTCCAACGTTAACTAAATCTCTCCTTCACAATGCCGTCTCCCAGTGCCTAATAGTAAGCACAGAAGTGGGGAACGGGCAGTGATTAGAATTATGTTCGTCGTCTACAACGAAATCATGAATTACAATGAACAAATGAAGAATATAATATGCCTGAATTTTTCTGAACCACACAGATCGCATCTATTGTGCTCGGAGAAGCCTTCCTGGGAGGTATACCTCCCATCACCCCGTGGGAGAGTCGGATGTATGGGGCAATGTAGTGGTGATGCCAATGATGCCGAGTGGACTATTCCCTGATAACTTTGATGACGAAAAGAAGCTCCAAAAGCATCAGGTCCCCAAACGAACTGGAAATGGTACTGCGCCGGTGGAGCCGGAGGAACACCTTGCTGTTGAGTTGAAGGAGACCACACAAGACTAAACAAAAGATTCATTCTTCTCTATTGGTTGAGCTTTGGAAGAGTGCAGACGACCAGATCAGCCTGCAGAAATGATTTTTTTGCGCCGTGGCCCCTTCAACTAACAGCAGCGACTCGGAAGATACGAATATACGATTTTGGACCGGAATCTGAACCTTTTCGATCAAGCCCTAGAGGAAGAGCGGTTGAGTAAATGGTCGAATTACCCAGCGCCAAGAGCGGCTTCCGTTTTTCGAAAATAAGCGGTTTTTTTCCTTTTCGCTTTTACCACAGATGAAATTGTAATGCCGAGAATACTCCGCAATTAAACAGCCGCCCTAGCCGTATTTGGAAATCATAGGACGGCCGAACTTTCGAAATATACTTGTTTTCAACCCCCTTTCAAATGATGTTCCTCTTTTAAAGACATTCAAATTACTTCTGCGCTGAGCCATATTTCTTACTCACCCTTCTTGAGGAAAATTGCCGGATTATCGAAAATAACGCACCGTTGCTGATAAGTCTTTAACACTGCCAAAATCCGATATCATCACATGACCACTGGCTGCTACCAAAACATTTTCTGGTTTCACGTCCCTATGCACATACGATAAGGAATGAATATGCTCTGAAATTAATTACTTTCGAATTAAACCATTCTGGGACAACAATGGTTTGTATGTTTCCCATAAAAATCGGCGCTGTTCTGCCTGGAAGGGACATGATGCACTTTCGCTAGTTTCGTCTGCTAGTTCATGCCAACTTTAAGTCTCACAAAAATGGGACTTTTTGTAAACATTTGCGAAGCCGCGAAATGGTAGTGTGAACTACTTTGGTAACAAGAGTTTACAGGTCTTCACAAGGTCACTGTACAGGCTTCGCTGAGCACCATATGGTGCCCCCTCCGAGCTGAAGTGCGGCAAAAAAAGGAAAATAAAAACACAGCAATGCCAAAATCAAACCACTTACGAAGTGCTGAAAGGATTTCAGCAGCATAGAAACGAGATTCTTCAAGGGTGAAACGTTGTTCAGGCTTTTTCAACATGATGTGAAGAAGATCCCCATCTAAATGAAGTGATTCAGATCTCTCAATTAAACATTTCGACGCTAGCGCAGTGAGAAGAGGGTCGCGCTTTGACTGTAGAGCGAATCATACGACTCTGGTCGGCTGCGCTTTTCCTCTCTTAGCAGATATCCCTTGCTTCCAGGGTACTTTGTACATTGTCGTATGTATGGATCGCACCCCTCCCCCACTTCGACGATAGCTTCAGGGAAGAACTGGAGTTTCATCAGTGGTGTGAAGTTGGGGAGAATATAGAAAGATGATAGGTGAATTGGGGACGAGAAAGGGGGTGGGCGTACCAGAGAATGAGTAGAATTTGAGGTCGTATTTTGTAAAGTTATCCACAACCGAGCATAAGTTGAGAGAGCGAGGCAACCAGATAAGAATTGTGTTGGTGCCGCTGCGTGGCCTTCTCCAGATGCGGCATTTCAAAATGAGCACAAACCAATCTTTTCAAAATTGGGGTTCAAAATACGAGCGAAAAACAAACTCACACTTGGCGTACGATAGTACAAAGTACAGATGGTCCCGGTCCTGGAATGTGGCGTACAAACCGACTATAAAAGGATGCTGATGTTCATTGTCGGACAGCCGAGCAAGGAACGTACTTCTCACGATGGACAGAAGCCACCTTAATGTTTAAAGATTTATATTGCATATAGTTGTAGGATTGTTCGTTGAAATACTCCGCATATCATGATGCTGAATTCAAAACACCAACCCTCTTCTCCTTTAAAATTTGTTTTTTGAAGCACATCTTAATCGCGACTTCTCTATGGAGATCAGCTTTCTCAGTGGCTGAATAAACGACACTGAAGGATCCCTCGCCAATTTCACGCTTCACCTGAAACACTCTCACATATTTTGATGATGCGCTCGGTTAGTGGGCGTTCATACTGCGCAATACGATCGAGCAATCCGAGCGGTCGGATCGCGAAGTATGAACACGTTCTCAGCTGACGTTTTTCGCAGCATTCCACCATACGAGCTCTACAAAAAGTTTTCGCTTTCTAGGAAAACCCTTTCCGTCGACTGAGGCTCAAACCTAGAACTTCTCAGCCTTGCTCAGGGCAATACCTTCCCATTATACCACAAAGCCACATGGATCTTCAATTCGGATCAATACGTATCTAATCCGTTGCTGTAACATCACCTACACAAACTCCCACAAATGAGCTAGCTGTTCGGTAAGTGCCGAATAAAAGCCGCCGAGTCATGGATAGGCCTGACGCGCAAGCCTTTGACGGCCTTTGACGAATGAAACATTAAACTAGACGCAAACAGGAATTCGCTTAAAGGGGGTAGGGGGTAGGTGGGCATCCTGTAATTTCCCGTCTACAGACGTAGCGTCCTGTAATTTCCTGCGGAGCAGAATAGTACCATTTTCATTCACATGCCAATTTTACGACCCCAAATTGGATTGCATTTATTGCTGGAAGATGAGGGGGAACTATTGTGGGCCTGAAAATGAGGACTCTGCCTAAGCCTAGGGAAAAGGAGCTCCGGGTGAACCTATCGTTTGGGTGGAAAAACAATTCTCACATCTCGTGAGAAATGGTTCAAAACACAATCATTCCCTTGCACCTTTCCTTTCAATATATTCCCTACTTCTGTCGCTTTCTTCCCAAGGGATATGATCCCATTCACAGGGACCAATGCCGTACGACTTTGTGGAAGCAAGACTTTACACATTTTTGTCCAGAACAGTGACAGTTTGCAGAATGCCCTCTCCCTCCTTTAACAGACCAGCGAGTCTCTTCTAACGCAATAATGTTTTGAAAGACGCCAGTTGTTCACAAAACTCTTCTTTGTAACTTCCCACACAGTAGAAACAACTGCTGTAATGTTTGCTGTCGTTTTGTTTTCTAAACATTGAATCTAGAAAGAGAAAGAAGGACTCTGGGCAAGATCTCCCGTACTTCTCCCAGTTGCAGTACTGTATTCTTCGCGTCCATTCAATGTAATGTAATAAACAGTAAACAATAAACATTCGGCGCTCATGACTGATAAATAATAAAATCTTGAAAAAACTGACCTCATAATCGGCCATACATCTCATTCGGATGTCGCCTCCATCCCCAGAAGGTGCGGATAGTTCCTTTGGAATTAATTCCAAATCCATCCACACCAAGGCGAGAATGCATAAAGCTGATGCTCAAAATACAGCTCGCTCTCCGTCGAAAATCGAAGGAGCGCAGTGTACGCGCCGTAACTGCATGAAAACGGGCGATACAGTAAACGCGACGGAAAATAAACTGCGCAAAACAAGCGAGTTTGGGGCTCAGGTCACATCGCTCTTGGGGGATACCCAACAAGGGGGTTTAGGTTATTTGGCCGCCAGGAGTGGGGGGGGTCGTTTTTGGGCTGAGAAAAATTATTTTGATAGTTGATTTTTCTCGCTTCACGGACGTTGTAAAAGGGGGGGGGGTCGTATTTACTTTTTGGCCTTCTAGGAGTGGTGGTTGACTTTTTGTGACTTTCCTGCTTCATGCGTACTATATGCCCCCCCCCCTCCCCCGCTTTAGATGGCTCGGTTGAATGAGGAATAATAGAGGGCCGGATGGGAGGGGGGTGGTCGTACGGACTCGACCAACATCCCTAACCAATGGTGTGCCCTGTTGTGGCTTCTTATATGGTTTCAATACTTTCAGAGCCGAGTCTATAACGTATTTGGGTAGAACGCTTCAGGTGCGCCTCTGCATTTTTTTCCAGGGCTTTTCGTGCGTTGGGGATTCGTTGAGGAGCAATGGGGGGGAAGGGGAAGGGGTCGTGCTTGCTTTCGAGAAAATTGTGCTGTCGGCCTAAAAGTAACGGCGATTTTGCTCACTTAAAATTTCGTTTTTAATATGTAAAATTTTGCCATTGCATTTAATGTAGCTAAAGCAGGGAATTTTCTATCAAATAACATAGGACACACTGGCGGAATTCTCTTTTTTTCTATGAAAACTTGTGATTAAAAGGAAAATTCCATTACCAATGAACCAACCAATATTTTCAGTGCTAACTTTTCTCGTTTTTTCCCCTTACACAAGCGCCCTTCCTTGGCCCATTTTCTGGGAAAAACAGGAGAATATCTCCGGAAAAGTGATGGGAAGATGGAAAAATTTAGGGATATGGTAGGTGAGATGGGGAGGGGAAGGGTCACTTGATTGGTGAGAATCGTATCAGGTTCCGAGAGAAATAGTTTTCGAGCCGCAAGAAACCACCACACCCCTCCCCCTTAGGTACTGTTCACAGTCTGCGGCCCAGCGTTTCTCTAGAAAGAAACGCTTCAGCGAAAAGCTTTCGATAGTATCGATTGGCGGTTGGCGAAATGGTTTTGATACGTATCGACGGGCGGTTCGGCGAAGCGGTTGGGCGAAAAACGCTAGGCCGACCACCCTGGTGTTTTTCTCTAGGGCGGAGCCTGCGAAATCGATACGTATCTATTGCTTTTCGCCCAACCACCGAACGGCGGTTCGGCGAAACGAGCGGTTGGCGATTCTCCGATCAATCCGTATTTTTTGCTTTTCGCCCAACCGCCGTTTCGTCAGGGTCGCAGACCGTGAACAATGGCTTAATTAATGAGCAAAGCCGCAGAACTGCGATGCAACCACTGTTTCTAATGATTGTGATATTTAACTGGTGGAGACTTCCGCTCTCTAGACGCCGTTTTTCGTGGATTAATTGGAAAAAAAGTCGTAGGAAAAGCGAGGAAATCTTTAGGGGAGGATCTAGTTGGTAGAATAGGGAAGAGGTTTGCACTGGAGGAGGAAATTTCACGGGGAGAGGCGGTGCTCTGCTCACACCGCCATTTCAACTATCCGGTATGGTATAGCGTGAATGCAATGGCCGTACGGTGTCCTGGAATATAAATGCTGACTAATTAAAACATTTATTATTCATACAAGTTGACAACATGAGCCGTGGCGAGAAAGTAACGATCAGATAAAAAATCGATGACATAGCCAGTTCGTCCAATTTTTCCAACTGTTACTATCCGCAAGAGGTACGTCGTAACCCTGAAAAATCAAATTCTTTTACTGTAAAGACGATTCTCGCGATCAGTTGTCAGTAGTAGGTGCTCAGCCATGAACTAGTAGCCCATAAGTCACTCCCCAGTAGAGAAAGATACTAAACGAAGCCTTGGGAACACTTGGAACAGAGACCCCCTTAGCAGTGGGGCCGGCGCTTTGGACGAGTTTGTCGGACGTCGGCAACCCAATCAGCATTATTCGACGTGCAACCAATTCCAACAAGAGCATAGGAAATCGCCCTACGACGCTCCAGGCAACGTTGCGTCCCGTTTGTAAGCCGTTGTCTTGCAGAGTGAAAGTAATCGTGGTTGCAATGGTTGCAATAATCACGCGTCTCTAGCTTCTTTATCTCGCCGTTTCGAGTGACGAAAGTGGTATATTCTCTGCAAATGCGGACAACGATGCCAAATGCACGGAGGCATTTCGCGGACCACTTGATCGCGGGAACTGTATTTAAGCAAGAAAGAAGAGGACCGGGGTAACCCTCACCGTTTTGCTTTAGGCACCACAAGTTGAGAGCGATTCTTCGAAAGACTTTAGCTGCTTCATGAAGCCCATATTCGGCCTGACTTCTGAAACGCTGAGGCTAACAGGTTGATGAGCTGTCATTTCGAGGTCTGGGGAACACACTTGGCCTGGCTTTCTTGACTGTCTCCAAGGCAAGTTCCAAGGACATTCCATGGTAGACCATAAGATATGAGATCACGAAGGTCGCCGCTCGTGATATACCGGCATTGCAATGTACAAGTACCTAAAAGAAGTAGTATAATCGCTGAATCCCTAGGGTGCACTGAATTCGTCTAGGGCTAGCGCTCAAGGCACATTTCGCACTGGTCGCATAGGCGAAGTCACAGGAACCATAGCACACCACTCACTTTGCCATATCTGAAGCAGAGCATAACCATCTCGTCGGTCACTGGTCATGACTTCCGCCCGGAGACCAACCGCGCAATGCGTCTTGGTCAGACATTACTTTTGCTCACCTGTTCTCACTATCGCGCACTTCTTCAATGATCTGGCACAGCAGGGAAATCCTGTACAATATTGTCCACGGGCAGGTACGCAATCACATCGCATGAAGATAAAGAATTAGTTGGGATAAGTGATTCGGACGCCTCGCAACAATTAGCAATGGGCTGATTTCCTTCGTCGCGCAGGATGCCAATATCACCGCGACGTCTTGACTTCCTGAGCGAGTACCCTCATGAAGGATTGAAAAAATAAAAGTCTAAAAGTCTTTTTCGATCCCTCCGAGGAATGCGGCACGCATCCTACTTCTGTTCGGAATCGTAGTGGCTTATTTAATGCGATAGGGCCTATATAATGACTTGTGGACGACAGTCGATGCACACTCACGAGGGAGGTCGTTCAAGAGTGGTGAGCTTTTTCAAAATGGTCTTGTGCATATTGTAGGGGCACATACGAGGACCAGAAAACTGAGGTTCATTTTCGCTGCGCGCTTCTACGAATGAAAAAAAAAAAACGTAAAAAAAACAGTCGTTGGTTCGGATCCCACCGAGGACAAAATTTTGCTTTCTACAATTTTTCATTTTTTGGATCCATGTTTGTCTAAATAATTGGTCCTAACAAAAACATTCACGATAAACTGAACAATCCTACTTTTATGGAGCTTTCGTGAAATCGTTATATTCACACGCGCTCAGCTTTTCAGCGTGGCCAGATGCAGCCGAAACCGAAAATGAATTAGATCGTGATCAGGAATATCGAATACCCCTGGGAGCAAGTTTCGAGCAAAAATTTTTTTTTACTTTTTGGGTCGTAGGCGACCGACCATTTGGTCGGCAGTGTGCGCGAAATCTCACATCCTTTCCGTAAACAGCGAATGACGTATCGTAACGCTACGGACCCCGGACAACCCAATAGCAAATCCACGAGTCAAAACAAATTGTTTGACCGAAATTCGATTCAGGGGTAATCAGTGGCTCTGATCACAAATATAACACCTATTCTTGGCGTCCACGCAATTTGGCGCCAGAATAGCGCTGAACGTTCCCTACATGGGTGTACATAACGAATTCACTGGAAAGAAGATGTGGCCCCAAATTGTCTATAATTGACACCACATCAGAAGTTACTAAATCGCATCAGAACCATGTAAATAGCCTATGAGGAACAACGTCCAGCAACAATCTTGTTCAATGGTTTGTGAAAATCGAAAGTAGTTGAATAGCACTGACTCATGAGGTATAGTTACTCGAAATGTGCCCATAAATGGCAAATATCGAGTTATAATGGCATGGCGCAGACACAAAATGGAAAGCAACACGCGAAAACATAAAAAATGCAAGACAGCCGCGAGCGCAGGGGGAACCGAAGCACAACGCTCCACCCTCACTGCCGATTACGAACCCTTTCCACTCTGTCCCTTGCCCTATTCCACGCTCGACTTTGAGTGGCGCTCTAATCGTTGATGAAACCATTGCAAGAAGCCGTTCACCCTTGAGCACGTGACCCAAGTTGGAAGCTCACTTGCGGCGATTTTTCGCTTCGATTCAAATAGCCCCTTTATAAGGACCCCCACTCAGCAACTGGCTTCAAATTGCAAGTGAACCTTACGGGCCCGGATAGAGGCCAGAAATGAAAGCAGATTCCAAAAATTTCTCTTTTTACTCGGTTTTACCTAGCCTTGGAAGAGCGCAGCGAAAATGACCTCCTTCTCAGTGCCTCTGCTGAGCCCTCAAATAGGCAAAAAAACTGTTTTCGAAATAGCGCACCACGCGCTGAAACGACCTGCCCCCTGCTTAGTAGCCCTCCCAACAATCTGGTACCAAATTTCGCGGCCCCGGACGTAGAAGCTTGGTTGGCTTAGGCGGCAGTCGACCAGGGATTCAAACCTAGGACCGCATAAGTGGTAAGCGCGCCACTTATCACTACACCGCCTACACGGAATTCGCTCAGAGAACACACCGTCGCCACATGTCCAACAGCTCTCCTAGCGACCTTTAAAGCAGGTCGTCCGCGTTCAGTTGAGATTTTCCTCTCCCTCCGTGAGCAGGTAGTCAGGTCCGCAGAGGCAACAACTACACCATTCTCGCGGCGCAAAAACGCTGCCTCAATCGAAACGTGAAGAGGCGCGGATGCCGTACCGTTCATTATCATGTTGACCAGCCTACAATCCATGTTGGCACGCCACCATTCATTTGCTAAATGGTTACCTAGTGGTGGGTTGTCCAGTTGCTGTTCTCTCCACGTCGAGTGGTGAGAGTGAGGTGATAAGGGAAAACAGCTGATATCAACAAGTGAAAACTCGTGCGACCGCACCTTCTCTTCGCCTTGAGCACGTACAACCTCACTTAAGCAAAAGGGTTCTACATAGAGCCTTTCCCATGGTTTTTTTATGGTTTTTCTTCGCTAAAATTACTTGCTGCCTTGGTATAAATATGTTGAGCCGCATAAACTCATCAGATTTGAATGCGGGCTCAGCCGACCTTTAATCTCCAAATTCACCCTTTCGCAAGAGAGGACCTCTCCCTTCCACTCGTATAGAGTTTTTCCAGACTTTGTCGAAGGGTCGGGGTGCATACCGAAGTTAGTTATGCAGTCCATATCCCGGAGACGCGGAAGGCGGGCAGTTGCTTTATTCGAACATGGCAGTGGCTGCGCTTTTGGTGGGACATTTCCGTTTTGCGGTAGTTGTAAACAGTTTTTGCCCAGTACAAGGCAGGATGACTAACAGTTGTCTCAAGTAGAAATTTCCCACGAAGCATCCCACACAGACACGAATTCCCTGTCTCTGGGATATGGAGTGCAACTTTAACTCCTTGACCCTCGCCCCGCCTCTTAACGTATTTCCTGACCGCTATTAATAACACAAGAGCCGGTTTGGCAGCAACTTTAATGCACGGCCTGTCACACGCCATTTCCATGGCAGGGATCTTGTTTGTAGCTTCTGGAAGTGGGTACCGAAGGAGGAATGGGAAGGGGGTGTCTTGTTTGGCAAAAATTTATCACAAGGCGATTATGTCCCCTGACCACAGCATTTTCCGTAAACATACCCAAGTAAACTCCAGGGCAGATGTTTGCAAGCTGTAAATCTTGGTTCCAGGTCGGGTTCTATAACAATCCCATCCTCGACAGCGCGATCATCAACTTTCTTCCGTCTTCTATTGGAGACACCTGAAAAGCGGTTTTTATCGTGAGCACAAAAAAAAACTGAATGACTCTCCAGTTCTCCTCAGGTTGCAGCGCTCATCTGAGGGCATGCGTAGCTGCGATGGCTACGAGGGTACAGACGGAAGAGAGACAGAGATATGTATAAGAGTCGACATTTGAGATATGCAGCATTAGCGGGCCCGCCCCACGTTCTGTCCCGATAGTCGCACCTGGCTTCGGCACAACCCATCATGTTCTAAAGCAGGCACATTTTACCCGAAAGCCCCTTCCCAGTGAATTACGGTCGATCACTAAAGGCTGCTCTACGTTTTGAGTGGTCCCAGGTGAACTCCTAGTGAGGTCACAACATTTTCTTTGCCGGTCCTTAGTGGTTACCCCCGTCTCACTTTCCTTCCCCGGGCACCACCTGCCTGGAGCGTTAACACTTTCTAGAAGCACAATCTGGACTGATCGCATGTAAGATGGACGGGTAGCACTGCAGATTTTCATCAGCCTTGTCCTTAATTCCAGGATTAGAGCCGGGCAACCACAATGTGTATGCGTTCTATGTTACCCGACCCACCCTCACTATCGTCGTAACAAGTCTAACGGTTGCCCATCAGCTGAGTAGATTGCAACACGCCATTCATATACCCTTTATAGGAGCAACCTAAGAAGGATCATAAACCACCTTTAACTGCGGCATTCTGATCATCTTCGACAGAACCACGGACAAACTCGCCAGATTCGTTCCTATGCTCTGTGACTTCTTCACCATCTTCGAGCAGGACCCTATAAAAGCGAAATCCTCAAATATAAACGATTATTAGAGCGAGAGATGTAGGCTACTATTCAGTACATTTACTGGGTAATCTGCATCTCGCATAGGGGTTACTCTAACTCGTGGCGTTGAAGAAGACGATAAATCGATAAGCGTGTACAGTGGTCCGATAACGCTTGTCGCGAAAGAATTGTCGCTCATAAGATTAGCGGCAGAGGCGCCGGTCTTTTACAACCAACGGCACCGTTATAGCGCCTAACTAAGGGGCAACATGCCAACCCAACGCCTATCGCAACCCACCCGCCCACAAATAACTGGACAGTCTTGCGCTCTTATTTGCTTCACTCATGAAGCCGGTCAATCAAACTTCAAGGCAATGACCTACATGAATATATGAACAAAGTACTGGGGGCAAGCTGTACTATTACCGACATGGCGGTTGGTTCGCCATTAGTTGGCATGATGCCAACGGGAAAACGGGGGGCGTCCAGCGCCATGCGAAACAATGGTTTTTACGCAGGTTTTAAGCCGTTCAGCTTCGCTTTTTCGTCATTTTCCCAGTGTAGCACCCTTGCTAGTATTTTTAGCAATTACCAAAATATCGTGCCTTATGCCTTTGAAAAAGTTCTCAAAGTACTTGAGTGGGCAGCCCCTCTGCATCCCTTCTCATAACTAAAGCTTAGGCTTAGAGAGCAGACCACCAGAGTCCGTAACAGCGCAAATGGTAGAGGGCAAAGGCTGCTTAGCACTGAAAGGTACGAAAGATATGTGTCTAGTCAGGAGACATGCATTTTCAAAAGGGGAGTCTGCGCGGTGGAACTGAGCACCCGTGAAGACAGTGGTCGTCTGCGCTGTTGACCTAAGCCTTGTTAGGAGAGGAGGCGCAAAGATGCTGCCGCTTTGCCCCGCTCAGTTACACTGACACCTTAGGAAATGGTATACAACTGCGAGGACCGCGAATGCCGCAGTGCAAAATTTGTCTCGGAGCTTAAACGCGTGCGGAACCCGGAAATCGGAAAATGTCTCGGTATTGCCTTCCAGGCTATTATTTTGGATGCATAGGAGCGACTCAGGAACCAGCGTGGTCAGCTGAGGCCGTATATCCAACACTGCGCGTTGTTGACGTGACGTCAACAAGAACAAAAGCGAAAACGCAATGCGAAAATGTGGACGAGTTCCCTGGTCCTGTTACAGTAAAACCTAGTCGTTCCACCGTAGATGATCACTGAAACCTTGTCATGTGCTCATAGAGGACAGTGTTTCAAGGAACAAGAAATAGTTTAACTCTTCCACAAAAACACTCACACAGTAGTAGTCGGCTTGAGTTTGTCCCTCGCCGACTTTAGTTGATCTTGGAGTGACATTGTGCTCAGAATTGATGTTGTCACATATGAGCAGAACTATTTAGCAACGAAACACCAGGTAAGAGGCCCAAACTGATGCGCTTCAGAAAATCCCATTCGCGATTTTGTTGAGCTGCTCCAGCGCGACCAGCGCTGTGTGAACCGCGCCGCTGGCGTTGCGCGTCGCGGCTTAGCGACGCCGCTGCGCCGACGTTCCGCTAGTCTTCGCGAATTTTGAGCTTTATTTTGATTGGTCCGTGTTTGTGGTGTTTCATATTGTTTGATTAGTAATTTAGTGCCTAGGAATACCACTAGGCCTGCCTGTTAGGCTGGCAGTATGAAATTCCTTTTTGGTTTTAGCTTGGAGCAGATTTTTGGAATTATTTCAAGACCTTCTAGTTGAAGTGAATAAAGTAACATTGTATTTTCAAAATAAGCCTTGTTACTTATTTCGTGAGAAGTCATTCCGCATCGCAATTCGATGCTTGTTTTCATGATTGCGTTGCTTTAAATTATTAGAATTTCATCGTTCGCTAAAGTGTTAAGTTGAATCACAAATCTAAAACGTAAGGTAAAAGCGGAAGAAAATTTGCTATTACATTTTACCACAGTTTGTTTCTTTCGGGATAGGTGTTCCTGTTAAGCTGGTAGGTGTGAAATGTCACTCCTTGTTTCTTTATCTAGTTCTTGAACATATTTTAAAAATTTCATGTTCAGCAATGCGATTTGAGTGAGTATAGCAGCCACTAAATCCCACGTGATGCCATGTGTTATTCATTTCATGACACATTTTATTTATTAGTATTTCACAATTTTGAGCTAGCTATCATTTTTTTGCACCATACTAATTACTGCTGACAATGAGTCGCATCCGAGTCGCGAGTCAAGAACGGGAAAAAGGGATGAAAGAATTTTTTCAGTTGCCTACTTGTTCCACATCATTGGTCCGTTAAGACGGGTGTCCCTGTACGCTGATAGCTTGAATATCACACGCTGATAATGTAGCTGTAGGGGGACCATTCGGCGGCGCTGCTATTTTAGTTCCCGCAGTCAAGGTTCATCCATAGAGCGCAGACGGCCAGAATCAGCGAGGAGTGGGTTTAGAGGAGATAGTGTCCTTTAGAAATGAACTTAATTAGAGGATGTTCCACGAAGCGCTGCTTACTATTAGTGCCTCTCAAACTGGGTCAGGATATCGTCTCTAATTATTTATTTACTTATTTGTTTATCGCGTTTTGTTTTCTATTTTTTGATGGTTTTTGTCTTGATAAACTGTCTTTATTCTCCTTTCTCTCCACCCCGATGTTTAGGGTCTATTTACTAATTTTGCTCTACTGGAATCCTAGTGGCGTTGACGCTACCGTAATATGGTAGTGAATATCGCCAGTACTCCGGTTCAGAGCAAATGTCTGAAACTTTTTGGGGCTTTCTAGTTTGAATTTCTTGAAGTGAATGACTGTAATTAAAATTCTGAAGCTGCTTAGTCATTGACTTGGTAATCCTACTATTCAATGTCATAATTTACTGCTAGTTCTTTTGGGATCGCATCAAGGCTGCTTCATATCTTTCCACATTGGAGAATTGCAGAATGGGGAAAATCGGCTTCGAAAGGAAAGTGTGCCTATATTGCACCGATTTATCTCTACTCCCTGTGCTGCTTCTCCAGTTCTGCAGAGTCCATTAATACATGTCTATACTTCTTCGTGCCCTCTCCTAGTCGCCAATTCGCAATCTCTACGATTTACTGATTCTCCAGTTGGGTGGACGATGCACACTATTTCTTTTTTCGCTGATTTTCATGAGTCCACAATCTCCCGTTCTCCTATTCCCTGACTATCCAATGTCGCAGTGTTTTCGACTCAGCCTAGGGCTGCGTTCATACTTTGCGTTGTCGTTTCGAGCGTGTGGCAGCGTTTTAGTCTGAGCGACAAAGTATAGATACCGATCTAGTGTTTTGAGCGTTTTTGCGAGTAGCTTTGAACTTTTCGCGGGCAGTCGCTGAAAAAGTAGGCTCGAAACGCTGACGCAAAGCATGAACGCAACCTAAAACACTTAAATGTCAAGGTTGAAGGACCACAATCCAGCTTATTTCAAGTGATTAAAAATGTAGAAACGATGAGCTTGCGTTCATATTTTACGTCAGCGACTAGGAAAGTATGGATATCGATCTGACGAACGTCAGCTTATAGTACCATTTTTGCGGTCAGTTTGCTCAAGCTGAAATTTCTGACCTCTGTCCACTCGGCCACGCTACCACCATTTGCCATTCTTCTGGTTCTGCTGGTAGGCTGCCACATCTCTTCAGGGGTGCGAAGAAAAATCTCGTAACTCGCCCAGAATTTGGAAGGTAGATTTGAGATAAACGTGCGAAAAGACATTCGGGCACTACTACTACTCCAATCTCCCAAAAAACAGGTCTGTTTTGACCGACTTTTTTCTAAGGGGAATTTAGCTCAGAACACGCTTCTGGGGTAATTTAACCATCTGAACACGAATATCACATCCGCTTGGCCTGAAATTTGCCTGGCGCCCGCGCCAAAAACCTTGAATCACCGAATTCGCTGAAAACTTGTCCCCAGGAGAGTTTGACCTCCTGAACACGAATATCACATCAGCTCGACCTGCAACTGTCTGCTGTACGCGGCACAGGCGCCAGCGCCAAGACACCCTAGCTCACCAAATCCGCTGAAAACTTTATACGATAGTTATTTGACATCCTGATTACGAATATGACATTCATTTTTGGCGCTGGCGCTAATGGAGGACACTACGATCATCTGCGCTCTGCTAAGGCTGAGCCTGGCCTAAAGGGAATCACTCTTTCTTCCTGGCTCGGCCTTAGAGGGCGCTATATAGGCCCTGGTGTCAAAAAATAGATGCCATTATATTCGTGATTAGTGTATCAGGCAACCCCGTTATACGAGTTTTCATCGATTTCGATGATAAAGATGCGGATCCCAGTGGCGACAAATATCGCTAGGGCTGAAATTGAGTGTCATATTTGTGGACTGAAGGTAGTCTGGAAGAGAATGCTTGATGCACTGAGTCGAGTCCTTGATTACAGGGAGGGTCACGGAAGCACTTTCTAGTGGTCCCTGTTCCACTATTATGAGTGCATTTTTACTGTATAGAAGTAGAGACTACCTTTCTTCTATGTTGCATCATGTTATTTTTGTGAAGTCAGAAATGCGGTGCTTTACGAGTATCCTTTCCATTTTTTGAGACTTTAAAAACTGTCGACCCTTATTAGGAATCGAGGAAGGATTTAGTATAGTGTGGCGGTGGATTCACATGGGAAATATGTCCGCTTTCTATTTCCTTGGAATGAATTCAAAAGCTTAAATTTATGCGATGCTTTTCAAACAACATTGAGGATTCCTTTATCGGCAGAATGGTGTAAATAGGAATTTTTCGAAATCATTATCGCATAGCAGTGCAATTCCTTTGTTAATTTTATCCAGAAATGAATATTGTTTGATCACATGAATCAAGGCTTTGCTCTTTAATTTACTGGAAGAACCCCTTCCATGCCTGCTCCTAGATTTTGTGAACATTCGATAGCATCTTTTTTTTTGCTCGAGGGCGAAGTTTTTTGCCAAGTTTAGCAGAACGAAGGTCCTTCGTGGGCGGCCTCACGCCAAAAAAGGTTTTTCCTCTTTCCTCTCTATGAAGCAGCAATGCGCTACTGTAGCTGGTCGCGGCGGCGCGACAAATTTCGCTTCACTGTGCTAAACGGGGCTATCCCGCGGCTCTGACCGTCTGCGCTATATTAAGGAGAGCCCAGAAGTGAAAGGATCACATCTTTGTGTTGTCGATCTGCGTTTTGATCTCTCAACTGCAGAAAGGCCGCGTTTATACTTTGCGATTGCACAGATTCCGCGATTTGAGGGTAATGAGGAAAGGATCGATCGTGACGGCTGTGGAGATTGCGCGATCCAGCGATTTGGGAGGCTTGGCAATCCAGTATTTCGAGAGATTGCCGATTCTCTCAAACAGTCATATCGCTCAATCTTCGCACTTGCCAGACCGATACCCATACTTTAATTGTTGCGCGGTCTCTCGATCCACCGAGTCTCCCAAATTGCCGAATCTCCTCTTTGGCAAAGTATGACCGCGGCCTAAACTTACACGCCCTGTCCGACGTCAGTGGCGTTCTTGAGGCATGAAAGATCTGAAATGACTTCTTGGGTTGCGTACCCATACTAGGCTAGCCCTTGCTTTCTCCATGATCTTCTCCATAATGCCTGTTATTTATTTCATTTCCTTTATTCATCAGACTTCATATCAGATGTTGCATCAATTTCAGATTCCATTAACATTAGCATCAATTCTATAGCTTGGTTAATTCCTTCGTAATGACGCCAAACTTAAATGAGGCAAAACGTTTGGCGCACTTAGGAGTCCGTTATGGGGAAAATCTTCGGGTTACCGTAGCTGCCAATCAGGTTTGATAACCTTATGACCTTTCCTTTTTCTTATCCTCGAGCTGAATCTACTGTCATTTTCTAGGGAGGTCGAAAGTATATGGAGGATCGTGTCCACATTGAGACTGTCAGGGATGATGACGGTTCTATTAGGTTCACATTTTTTGGAATCTTCGATGGACATGGTGGTCATGAAGCCAGTGAATATGTCAGGAGAAATCTTTTAAATAATATAGTGGTGAGCAAAGACGTATTGGAATTGTTCATTTCCTGCCTATGTTTTTATTACCTTTTTGGGCGTAGTTCGTCGAGGGGGGGGGGCATTTTGCAATTTTGCTAGTTCCGAATTACAACGTCGATGGGAAATGGCAAAAGTGCAAAAGCTCTCCTCCCTCCGTCACCGAACTGCGCCTGTTTTGATTTACGAGTTATTTGCGCAATACTCTTTTTTTTCAAGAAAAATGAGTTATTTGACTCTGATGATGACGATGATATCTTGGAAGCTATAAGGCTAGGATTTCTAACTACACATCACGGAATCTGGAAAGTAGTCTGTGAGTCGGTTCTTTATTTTTTTCTGCACCTTTATCATGTCAGCTGTTCTGCTACGTTTTCTATAAATCATGTAATAAGTAGGCGGAATTGTCTGGAGCGAAGTCATAGGTGTTTTTGTATAAAAGCCCACTCAACAACTTACGTATAAAATCTTGGAAATGAGATAAATGAGTATAAACCAGTTGTAGAGTAAAATGTGTGGAATTAATACGAAAAAGGGGCGTGGCAATCTGGAGCGGGACTTGGCATGGTGTCTAGTGTGTTCGGGTTAAAGACAGCCCCCGCGCTCAAGTAGTACATGGTCGTCCTTCCTTGTGCAAGTAGTACAGCCCCCAAGCTAGAGACTATCCCACTCTCGCGACTCCACAGCGAGCGAGGAGCGAGCTACAGCCGCTGAAAGTTCTAACGCCCGCCAGTTGGACCGCCCACTTGCTAGATGCCCTCTGACGGAGGGCCGCTCAGTTGTTCTTTGTTGGGGCGGCGGGCATTAATCGGAATTGCATGTCCTTTTTGCTGACCGCGCTCGTGCCCATGAATGATTCTGCTCTCCTTCATTACATTTTATTCATTAGGAGCACATACAGTCAACTCCAACCCATCTCGCAAGGTAAAACGCGTAAAATCACGAGCGACCCAATTTTCGTGGTGCAAAAGCTCGACGCACCACACTACACTAAAAGATGCACGCTACCGTAACCCTAAATTCAGGACGCCGAGTTTTTGAAAGTTTCTTTTCCTTTTCAAGAGTTTTTCTTCCGTGTTTTCGTTGTTTTCCGTATTCTTTTCTTTGCATTGGATGATATCCACTACTGGGAGATGTGATAAAGAATTTGTGAGCCAGGGGTTGCACAGAGACCGCAGGGCTGTGTGACTGTGGAGCGATTTTGTTAATGGTGTCTTGAGGAATCTTCCTGCTTTTTTTTTCTCCTTTGGGGAATTACTTATCAGCTAATGTTCCATAATTGAAACGCAACTATCCATGACACTTTTCCTGCGGGGGCTGTTTTTAATCGCTTCGTGGAAGATCGTCATCTGTTCTTTATCTTCTCTACTCTTCAACATTATCGCGTCAACAGTTATTCAACGTCAATTGGTTCAAATATGCAATGCTGCGTTTTACCTAGCTCTGAGAGCTTTTCTTGTGCAAAAGCTGGGCTTCACGCTCCAAAACCACTGCCTAACTCCAGAATATTTAGTCTCCATTGTGATTCTGAATCCGGTGGCATACTAGCGCGGTTGATAAGCGCAGCCTTGCTATCAGATACTCCTTGGTCTGCCTTTGGAGTGATTCTGAGCCGTTCTTGTAGCCCGCACCTCCTACTGTCACTCTCCTTTTCTGCCAAACCAAAACTTCCAGTCCCTTTAGGCTGGTTGTCCTGGTTTCAAATGCCTTAGTGCTTTGTACCGTCATGTCCCACCTCCACTGGAACAACACCGTGCTTGATCATTTGTCTCTGTTTCCTCACTCTTTTCCATTATTTTCTTTGCAATCATTTGATAATGCATCAAAACATCTTTGTTTTGCGTAACTGTTGAAATCTGGGATCTGATCAGTCTGAGAAGTACTAAAAAGATGCGTACATCTAGCTGGCGTCCATAGTTGTACCATTTTTTGTCCGTTTTTAGTTAACTTTTTGAATTCTTCTATTTCTGCCACTTTTCTCTTATTCTGCTTCACTGGAGTTTGTTGTTTTCAGCCGAGTGGCCTCGTACCGCTTCCGGGTATCCAAGTACTGCAGGAACTACTGTGAGTATAGCTATACTGAGAAACGGCAAGCTATACACTGGCCATGTTGGAGATTCTGCTATTATTTTACTGAGGAGAGCTTGTAAGTTTGTTTTGTTGCAGTTCTTTGGGGTGTCCTTTTTTTATTCAATAGTTACACCCAAATCCCGGGGGCGGCGAGGGCGTGGCTGCGTGCTTTGTCCAAACATGGTACAGTTGGCGTTTTTCGTGGAGTATTTCAATTTGAAGACTATCATTCTGTTTTGTGCTTCTTCCGGAACATGATTAGTGTTAGTCAATATTCCACGGAAAGCGTGACCGCTGCCATGTCTAATACTAGTGCGCTGCCACGCCCACTCCACCTCCGGGATAGGCAGCGTACATAAACTATGACGAGACTTAATGTTGTGCATTTTATCCAGATCGCAAAGACAATTCGGAGGATCTTGTTCCGCACAGACTAACTATCGATCACAAACCGGAGAGTGAAGATGAACAAGCAAGGATTCGCATAGCTGGCGGATCGGTACTGTCTCGGATTAAATTAATGAGCGGCGCAGTTCGGTGACAGAGGGAGGGAGCATTTTGCACATTTGCTCTGTTACTACTTCTGGTTTACAAGTCTCATTCTGGTTAAACCTGTGAACTCTTATAAGCTGGAACAGCTCGTTGAGCCACCATGGTAACACCTGTCAACTCAAGAAAAGACGCATGGGTCGACGTGTCGACGATAAGTAGCAAAAGTGCAAAATGCCCCCCCTCCCCTTAATGAGCTTCTAATTAGCAATGTCTTTGGCATTTCGTGTCTAATCGTCAAGATATATAGGTAGCGCTCAAAAGCGGAGTTGCTCGTGTGGTTTGGACGCGACCACTAAAGCATCATACCGGTCCAGTTAGGCGTAGCACGCCGACTGAAAGTATTCCATTCCTTGCGGTCGCAAGAAGTCTAGGTGAGTCTTGGAGATGCAGTAACATCAGGAGTGAATAGTGGAATAGCGCTGTTTTTCAGGCGATGTTTGGTCGTATTGTGAGGATACCAAAGAGTTTGTAGTTTCTCCTGAACCGGACCTGGCTGTGCAAGAACTAACTGGTATGAATTCGCGAGTTTCTTGTTTTCTCTTATTCGCCTTTTTCGCCTCGTTTGCTCTTTCTGAAGGTTCTTTGAACTATGGCCCGTTTTCATGTGAGGCTTCACGTCTTTTCTGCGTAAACCTGCATTCATACTTTGCGACTAGACATTTTCGAGCAACGAAAGTAGTGTAGGTATCGATCGGCGCTGGTAACTAGCGTCTCGGGAGAATTAGCTTGCTGAGCGAATTGCTCAAATTCTATTTTCCCAAAACGGCAGATCGATGCCTACACTTTCCTTTTCGCTCGGAACGCCCATTCTCCCGAAAGGTCGGATCGCTCGAAGCGTTGATTCTGCTAACGCCGAGTAGCGAAGTAGAACGTAGCTTAACGCTTCCTTAGCATCCGTGGGGGAATGTGAGGCCCAAGATCTGAGGGCAGGACACGCCATGGATGAGAAAATGGCTCTCGCAAAACGTCCCCGATCAGTACCCTTTGAGAAGTCTCCAGCATGCAGCCTGCCCTGTCTGTAAGTGGGACGAGTCCAGCTGTTAAAGGCACGCTCAGCAGCATTCAGTTGATGTTCAGACGTTTTTTTCTGAACATAGTAGTCTTGCCTGCAGGGGCGCTTCTTTCAATAGTCAAGAACACGTGAGGGATGCGCCACTCGCTCGTGACGAGGCCACGGCCCTGCCAGCTAGCCGTGGAAATACCCAGCTTTCCTTTAAAGACCTCCTTGTGTTGTCGTTTCGCTAGCAGTTCTCTATCCATTCAAGGTGAGAGTGAGGTGTCAAGGGTGAACTAGTCCGACCACGCCCTTTATCCGTTATGTGCATGAAGAAATGCGGCTCAGCATAAGGTTCTATATGAGGCATTCCAGGCAGTTTTTTTCTGTTTTTTCCTTTACTGCTGTGTTAGTTAGCTGTTTGAACCGAACAGCTGACTTTTCTTGAAGGCGGGGTGTGCTTTTAAGTTCTTTTGTGGAATACATCTGTGTTTCTTTAGGTGCACCCATCGTAGACGATAGGTTTCTACGGTCGCTTGTACTTTGACCTTCTTAACTGCTTCGTTATCATTTCTTGTTAAAAATCCTTAGTCGC